GGACGTCTCGCAAACCCTGGAAACAGACTTGGAGACCCGGGCACCCAAAACTCCGGAGCAGGTCAATCTCAAAATGGATCCTTCCGTCGATGGAGACACAGTGACTTCTCAGCACCCGTCCGCCATAGGTTCGGACACGGCCGTTGCCGAACGGGAACGCAGCAGTCGAGACAGTACTCCCGATCAGTCGCTGAGCGGAGCCGCCGTGACCGCCCCTCCCAACCCTCAAGATGATGATGGCGAAGATATCAAACCATATTCACTGCCCTCCATCCGCGAATTGTTCCGAGTTTTGATCGATCTGTTGGACCCGCACAACCGCCAGCATACCGAGCCAATGAAGGTGATGGCCCTCCGAATCATTGACGTGGCCCTGGAGGTTGCTGGTCCCTCCGTCGCGAAGCATCCGAGTTTAGCCAACTTGGCACAAGATGATTTGTGTCGCTATCTCTTCCAGCTGGTCCGGTCCGAGAACATTGCCATTCTGACGGGATCGCTCAGGGTGGCAGGCACTTTGCTACTCACTTGTCGCTCGGTGCTGAAGCTTCAGCAGGAGCTTTATCTGTCGTACCTGGTCGCCTGCCTCCATCCCAAGGTAGAAATACCCAAGGAGCCAGGAATAAACCCGGCTCTGTACGATGGGGTACCCCAAAGGCCCAAGTTGGTGAAGCCCTCTCCTTCACAGTCGAACAGTGGCCGCTCGACTCCGGTCCCTGTGAAAGACCGCCAGAAGCTCGGTCTCGAAGGAGGCTCTCGGAAGCCGGAAACTCGGGAGGCGATGGTGGAGAGTATCGGCGTGCTGGCACGGATCCCAAGTTTCATGGTGGAGTTGTTTATCAACTACGACTGCGATATCGACCGCGCGGACCTCTGCGAGGACATGATTGGGTTGCTTTCGCGGAGTGCTTTTCCCGATTCAGCCACCTGGAGCACGACCAATGTGCCACCTCTGTGCTTGGATGCTCTCCTGGGCTATGTCCAATTTATCTACGATCGCTTAGACGAAGAGTTTCCGTCAGAGGGCTTTCCATCCAAGGATGAACTTCACCACCAGCGTCGGACTAAGAAGATCATTATCAAAGGAGCTCAGAAATTCAACGAGGACCCCAAGGCGGGAATCGCCTATCTGGCCTCTCAGGGGATTATCGAAAATCCCGACGATCCGGTCCTCATCGCTCGTTTCTTGAAAGGGACCACTCGATTGTCAAAGAAGGTTCTAGGCGAATTCATCTCCAAACGTTCGAACGAAAAGCTGCTCGATGCCTTTGTCGATCTCTTCGATTTCTCCGGCCAGAGTGTGGTCGACGCCCTTCGCGATCTCCTGGGTGCGTTCCGCCTGCCCGGTGAATCGCCGCTGATCGAGCGTATCGTTACCACCTTTACAGACAAGTACATGCAAAAGGCTAAGCCTACCGAGATTGCGGATAAGGATGCCCTCTTCGTGCTCACTTATGGTATCATTATGCTGAACACCGATTTATACAACTCGAATATCAGATCGCAGAATCGCATGTCCTGTACGGATTTCTCTCGAAACCTGCGGGGTGTCAACGCAGGCCAGGACTTTGCGCCAGAGTTCCTGCAAGGCGTCTATGACTCTATCAAGCAGAATGAGATTATCCTGCCTGAAGAGCATGATAACCAGCATGCATTCGATTATGCATGGCGGGAGCTACTGCTGAAGTCTTCTTCAGCAGGCGAGCTTGTGGTGGGTGAGACAAACATTTATGATGCGGAGATGTTCGAAGCTACTTGGAGACCCGTGATTGCGACGCTGTCGTATGTCTTCATGTCCGCCTCGGACGATGCCGTCTATTCTCGCGTGGTGACGGGCTTCGACCAGTGTGCGCAGATCGCTGCTCGCTATGGTCTGACGGCTGCCTTTGACCGCATTGTCTTCTGTTTGGCTTCGATCAGCACTCTAGCCACGGAGAAACCTCCCAGCACCGCCCTCAACACAGAGGTGCAGGCTGGAGAAAAGAGTGTGATGGTCAGCGAATTGGCCGTCAAATTTGGACGCGACTTCCGAGCTCAGTTGGCCGCGGTGGTCCTCTTCCGAGTTCTCGCGGGCAATGAGGCTACGGTTCAAGAGGGCTGGACCCATGTAATCCGCATTCTCAACAATCTTTTCATCAACGCTCTTATTTCCCCCTTCAGTTCTAGTCTCAACGCAGAGCTCGAGCTGTCTCCGATTCCGCTGCAGAACCCCTCGCAAGTCGTGGAGCGCGACGGACGAGGCGCTGAGACGGGCTTGCTGTCTGCATTCACCTCATATCTATCCAGCTACGCAGCGGATGAGCCTCCCGAGCCGTCGGATGAGGAGCTGGATAACACATTGTGTACGGTTGACTGCATCTCAGCTTGCTCCATCGATGAAATTCTGGCCAACATCAGGTGAGTCGAATGCATCCGTTTGTGGTTGTTGTGTACTAACGTTTCAGGACCCTTCCCTTGGAGACGGTGACGATACTGGTGGAAGCCCTTTTGGACCAACTCCCTGAAGAAAGCGCCCCGGCCGTTATCGTTGTTAAGTCGGAGCGTCCGGCAGCTGGACCCAGGGGGGCTAACGGCAGAGTCAATGCCAGTAAGCCGAAGTACGATCCGGGCATGCTCTACCTCTTGGAATTGGCCACTGTCCTCACTCTCCGGGATTCCAAGACTTTGGAAAGCCTTGGCGAAAGACTTTTGACCTGTCTGCAAGCTTTTGTCCGAGATGCCCGGAACATCCACTCTTTGGCGCTGTCACGGATCATTTACTACCTCATGAACTTGCTGCGCTTGAGCTATGTATGCCCCCCTTTGCTAACATTCATCATACAAGTCTGACGGACGATAGGACCAGCCTTATATGCGTGTGCCGGTGATTCTCCATGGGATTTCTGGCTTTGACCAGGACATTCTTGAAAGCATTGCCATTCCTGTAGTCAAGAGCCTTTCACGATGCATGTCTGATGCGGAGGCTCTGCGGAATGAGGTCTCCGCCTCGCCGGACTTCTGGTCCATCTTGCAGAGGCTGCACCAGCACCAGGAAGCGGCTCCGCTGGTGTTCAGCCTGCTGCAGACCATTGTGGAATCGAACCCACCGATTGTCACGGCTGATAACTACGAGTCTGCTGTTGGCCTGGCGAACGACTTCATCAGCGCTGGCAGTGTGGGCTACATTGAAGAGCGACAGAGGGATGCACACGGCCGACGCAAGGCTGTCAAGCATCCTAGATCTAGTACCGAGAACGAGGTGGTTGCGAGGGGAGTCAAGGCCATTAACTTTGTCTTCCATTTGACAAACCGCATCCCGGCGCTGATCAAGCAATCGCACCTCGAAGAGAACGAAGGTATGTCGCCAGCTCAGCCAGTCGAAAACACTCATTGACACAAAACAGCCTGGTCAGCCTACTGGTCTCCGATTTTCCAGTCTCTCACGGCCCAGTGCATCAACCCCTGCCGAGACATCCGTCACCACGCCGTTTCGACATTGCAACGAACGCTCCTTTCCCTCCAGATCAGCGCCACCGACGAGAAGGAATGGACCGCGATCTTCGACCAGGTGCTCTTCCCTCTGATCCTCCGCCTCCTGAAACCCGAAGTCTACCACTCGGACCCCGTGGGGATGGGCGAGACGCGCGTGCAGGTGGCCACGCTGGTGTGCAAGATTTTCCTGCGGTATCTGGACCAGCTTCCCAACTGGGACGGGATGCTCGACCTCTGGCTGCGGATCTTAGACATTCTGGATCGGATGATGAACAGCGGCCAGGGCGACAGTTTGGTACGTTCTTTCCTTTGGGATTCACGGAAACAAGACTAACAACCCCACAGCAAGAAGCCATCCCCGAGAGTCTCAAGAACATTCTACTGGTCATGGCCGACGGCGGATACCTTATGCCGCCGTCCCAGGACGCAACCAGAGAAAAGATCTGGACCGAGACCAAGAAGCGCCTCGACCGGTTCCTGCCGGACCTGTTCCAGGAGATCTTCCCTCCGCTGGATGAAACAAAGGCCGCCGCGTCGGCGCCTGTCTCGGCGGTGCCGTCGCCCGCACCAGAGACGAACGTCGAGCCCGAGGCGGAAGTCGCCGTCGCCAACGACGAGCCCGAGGCTGCTGATGTTGCAACCAGCGCTGAAGAACCCGAACCCGAAACGCCCAGCGAGGCTCCCTTGCCTGTCGACAAGGGCAAAAAGGCCGATTAGAACGGCAAAGCCAAGCACCATCCAGTCCATCATGCCTCTAGACAGCCTGCAGACGTGCTGTAGACCTCTTTCTTTCTTTCCATCTTGAGGGGGAACAAACAAACCCAGACCGGCAGTTGAGTTGAGTCGACACATTTCCATTGCAGCCCAGCTTGGGGTTATGTATGAGTATATAGCTTCAGGCCTTTCCATTAAGCGTCGGTGTATGATTTTCTGTGGTTGGTGGATTTCTCATCCTGGCCGTTCGGGGACGCGACGCGATGTGTGTCCGGTATGGGTAGTGGTTGAGGTTTTTATCTATGTGTGTGTGCATACTCCTGTAAATATACTCGATCTTCGCCCCCCCACCCCGCGCTAATAGATCTAATCCTGTTGAAGCTATGTGTAATGGATGCATGCATACATGTACAGTACTTCACCTCCCAGCGGCTGTAGGGGTTTGATTGCCGGACCTTATCGATATGATATGATGCTAAGAAGAAGAAAGCTGGCGTGTCACCCTCGGCTGAACGTTTGCTCTGCTCTGCCTTGCCCGAGACACACCGCACTGGAACTGTACAAATTACATACATACTTACTTATTCTACTTATGGATTCTCACTGCAAGGCCTATATATCCAAGCAAGACCCTCTTCCCCTCCCATCTTTTTCGTTTGGCACGGCACGGAAGACCGGGCTTACAGTTGGTGCATGAGATTCATCAAACGCCAATGGATGGATGGATATATAGACAGATAGGTAGATAGTGTGGACCGTACTGTGCCCAGCATGAGACAACCCACCTCCAAGCAAGGAAACGACTTGAAACTCCCACTCTATGGCCTGGTTCTCTCCATCTCAAAGCTCCCCTCTTCTTCAGCGGTCTCAGACCCAGCCTGCTTGCCATACTCTCCGAACTCAAGTGCCTGCACACGGACCCCTTTCAGGCTGAGCACGATCAAGCCGGCCGATATCACGCAGATACCGAATAGGGCTGCGAAGGCTGCGGCGTAGGCGTTGACCACCACCAGTGAGAATTAGCGTATGCCGTGGATTTCAACACGTTAATAGATCGGTCGATCGGTCGATCGGTAGTTAGGTAGACAAGATAGCGCGTAAGTAGCTCAACACATACCAATCGAGCGCTCCGGCTCCGGCAGCGTAGGTATCATCTCGATCGTGTGGCGGGCTGATTCGATCATCTGGACCGAAACTTGGGCGTTAACAGGCCAATGTCACATTTGGGTGTAGACCCGAAGAATAGAGCATGGCGTACACACCTCTCGAGATGACCCCTCGATTGTCTGCTGCGCTGCTGCCACCGTCCCCTCAAAAACATTCTGCAAGGTCGTCGTCCCCGCAGCAACAGCCATGAACACCCCCAGCGAGCGCATCATAATAAAGCATCCGTTCGCCACGGCGTGGTCGTCTTTCGTGGAGGAGCTTAGCAGCGTCAATACCGCGCTGGGGGCCATCATGCCCATGCCTAGAGTTGGGAGGAGCAGGGCCAGGTTATAGATGGATTCCGGCAGACGGGTGTGAGCGGAGGTGCATGCCACAACTACAAACAGGGCTAAGGTTCCGAGGGCGAGGAGGGCCTGGCTTGCTGGAGGGTATGCGCGGGCGTCTTTAGTCGTGCGAATATCGATGAGGTTGTCGCGCTGGTGAGGGTGAAGGCGAGGGAGGGAATGAGGAGGTGTAGGCTGGCCTTTTGGGGTGGTTCGAGGAGGACAGATTGGAAGTATAGGGCTGTGTGGTACATTATCTTCGTACCCTGTCAGATTATGGGAGAAGGCGAGGAGGGCTGGGCAGTTGGGGGGCCAAGGGGGGTTGTACCAGGTAGTTGATGAGGGAGAATAGGAAGCCGGTGGCCATTAGGTTTCTCGTTGGATGGCAGGTGAATAGCCGGAGCGGAAGTATTGGCTTGTAGCTCTTCGTTCGACTATGATTAATAGTCCTGTGGAGACGAGGAATGACATTCCTAATGCGATCTCGATCGGATGGATCCACGGGATGGTGCTACCACCTGTGGTCAAGAGACCAAAGAGCAGGGTCAAAGTGGATAACTTCCGTAGCAAATGCTGTGAGACAAAGCAGCCATGAAAGAAACACACGGTTATGCAGTCAATACTGACCAAGAGCATGGATCCCCACCAGTCGTAGTTCTGAAGAAAGGCGGTTTTCTGATCATCTTTGATCCCATTCATGGCCGTCAAGCGAGCGCGGGACGGTATGGAAACGACCAAGAGCAAAAGGGCAGTGGCTGCGAATGGTATCTGCGCCTTTTTCGTCAATGAGCGGTGGTTGTCGATCTTGGAGCTTGACCAAGCATGCATACCTTATATACCATATTCCAGCCATATCTGTCGACCAGAAAGCCTCCAAGTGCAGAACCAAGGCTAAAAACATTTACTACCGTCAAACGATGTTCTATGGAAGGCGAGGGCTGATATCACTCACACCCCGAACCTACCCCGTAGACAGCGTAGTTCATCGATTGATAATACCCCCGCTTCTCTACCCCGACCACATGGGTCAAGAGAATCGACCCTAGACCGTACAAAAATGGTCAGCCACAGCTCATTGGGGAGGGTATCCAGCAATACCCATGGTCATGACGCCCGCAGTACTAAACCCAGAGACTGCGCGTCCCGCGATCAGACCAGCCCACTGCCCTGTGCTACCGCATACCAGTAGGCCGCCGAGGAAACGGGCTGATGTCGTGAGGTATGGTGTTTTGCGGCTGAGGTGGTCCGACACCCGGGCATGCAGTGGTTGAAAGGTGGTGGACATTAGAAGGAAGGCGTTGACCGGCCACGACGAGAGATTGGTTCGGTCGAAGGCGGATGCAACGGACACATGGGAAGACGCCGAGAGACTCGAGTCGATAGCTGTTGACTAGGGATTTCTTGCATGAGCTTGTTTCGAGGAGAGATTGGACAGAGGAACAGACATCACGTACCAAGTTAGAGATGAGCATCCCTGCGAAAAGGGTTATCAGCAATTAGGTAAGTTACATGGATTTGCCCGAGAGGCATCTTCAACAGACCTGCAATGAGAACAATGATCTGAGATTTTGGTAATCGACGATGTCTGCATAGAGTTTGCTCTGTCTCTTCATTGATTTCATTGATTTAATTGATGTCATTGATGAGGGAGGTATTCGACGTTTCGTCAGTGCGCCTGATCTCTCCAAACATGGTTACCCTCGTTACCCTCGGGGGAGAAAGGACTAACGGAGAATTACCACATTCTAACCATCGTTTGTCTTTGTCTATATACCGTATATGTGAGACGTGCTGTGGAAAGTCATAGACTGAGATTGGCAAAAGGTTTGCAGTCGGTGTTGGTGGCCCTGCATTAGTGAATGCAGCGGGAGCCTGCCAAGAAGCTCGATGATGCTGTAGTATTGAAACAAACAAACATATAGTACAAACTGTACAAACTATACACACATCTCTCGATTAATTCACAGAACGAACACGACCACCATTGTCAACTAGAGGATTTGGTTCATTCATTGGTACTGGTGGCCTTGCATACTCACCTTCAACCTTGACCCTCTTGAGGAGTGCAGGGGAAGTCTTGAAGAGGAGATAAGACTCTGGTATATAAGCACCCCCTCCCAAGTCTGGTTGTCGATAAGAGCTGACTGCAGAGCACATCAACGACAGCGAAGCCTCCACTACAGGACCACAAGATGGAATCCTTCAGCATCCACAGCATCCAATCCAACCTCCTCCCCATGCCCCATCACCAAGCTCTGGAGCGTCTCTACTATGCCTCGAGAAAGCCAAAGGTTCACGCCCAGATCAAGACCACTGAGATCGACATCGAGTCCGACGATGAGAAGACTCCACCCAAGCTGTCCGCCCCGAGGCTCTGGCGCCACCCAAGCAGCTACGCCGTGCAGGCCCTCCGCAGCCCCTGGCACCGAACCCTCCTGCGCCTCCAGAGCGCCGTCTTCCACACCTCGATCGAATTCTTCCCCCACACCATGGGATACGAGTACCTCGTCGTACCCGTCACGACCGGCAGCGTCAGCTCGCCCATGGGGCTGGGCTCGGACTCCCAGCCCGTCACCATCTGGCTAGACGACCAAGCTACATACCTGGCCGACTCGCAGCAGTTCCTGCTCGAGTACGCGCTGCGGCTGCAGGACCGACCCCACGGCGTCTACTACGCCGGCACCTCGTGCCGCGGCGAGGACCCGGACGCGACGCACCTCAACCAATTCTTCCATGTGGAGTGCGAGCTCGTCGGCGACCTGGCGCAGGCGCTGCTCGCCTCGCACGGGGCCGAGATCGCGCGCTGCGCCGGCACCACAGCGCACCTGCAGCAGCTCCTCCGCCTCTTTCGGACCAACAACCACTCCTTCCCGCGGATCACCCTGGCGGAGGCGATGGCGCTGCCCGAGCTGACCGACGGGATGTGGAGCTTCGTCGTGCCCGGCGATCCCGCGTTCGGACGGGCCCTCACGCGCAAGGGCGAGCAGATACTCATCGCCCGGTTCGGGGGCGCCTGCTGGCTCACGGAGATGGATCACCCGAGCGTGCCGTTCTACCAGGCTTATGTCCCCGACATTGTCCCGCCGGGCGGGGTGGCCAAGGCCCAGTGTGCGGACTTCCTCCTGGGGATGGGCGAGGTGCTCGGGTGCGGGAACCGGCATGTCACGGTGAATCAGGCGCTGCGGGCGCTGGGCAACCACGGGGTTGCGGCAGGAGACTACCAGTGGTATCTGGATATGCGTCGGGAGATGGAGGTGAATACCACGGGGTGGGGGATCGGGACGGAGCGGTTTCTGTGTTGGGTGTTGGGGCATGGCGACGTGCGTGATGTGCAGATGTTTCTGAGGTTGAAGGGGATGGATAGCATGCCTTAGGTCTGGTGGATTGGCTTTGGATTGATTATTGTTGAAGGTAACTGTTCGAGCCCGTACAGGATCTGGTGTGCTGCAGCCGCTTTCTGTATCCATGTTTTGTTCGAGGTATTTCAGATGACGTTCCTCGTGCTCCGTCTTGCCTGCTGTCATTGCCTGATACCATAGTGGGAAAATAGAAATCGAAGGTCGAAACAAGGTATAGTTGATACTGGTTTGCGGAACAGTGGTAACTAGATAATGAACACGCCTCTAGCTTTGGTACAGGTGAGTAACAGTCCCTATTAAAGTAATTGTGTTTATTTTTCCAACTTATCTCTAGCTGGTTCCAAGCTGGTTGCAACCCAGTTTGCTGGTATCTATACATGATGACGAGTAACAGCCTACATCACCTTGGAGTCACAAGGAGCGAAAGAATAGTTCTTCTGGCTAGTCTCTCAGGTGGTTCAAGCTGCTTCTTTGCCATATGGGGGAAAAGAAAAACATGGTTCTCAGATATTGATATCTATCTAGAAATGTCTATCACTATTTAAGACTAGTTTACAGACCTTACCTCCACGGCCCTCTCTCACTATCCACTGTGCTGTACTTGGATGCTACCTTTTCGTATCGGCTTTGTCCCCTCCATACTGTATTCTGTAGCCGAAGGTCGTCTACCATTGGAGCATGGCCTAATCTCAACGACTCAGCGTAGAATCGCCCGGATATGCTGCAAGACGTGTTGTGCTGGGTATCATATCGACACTTGACTCTACAGTATACAGATTTTCAAACTACTTTGAGAACAAATACAAAATGTGTATTGGACTGTAAACGCAACTTTCATTGGAGATCTCTGGGAAAGAGAGCAGGCGGTGCACTGCAGGATCACAGTTCTGCGGGGCTATCAAGCTCGGCCCGCGGTGAGGAGGTAGCGGTGGAGGTGGAGGTGCCCTTTTTCTCGAGGCATTGCTCCGCCTGCAAGGACGGGGAAACAGATTATTCTGGGAGAACTCGTGCATCTTGCGGAAATGATCTCTCTGTTGGCCATTCGCATTCGCAGAATGCCTTGGTGATTAGTCATGTTGGGAGTTGAGAGGTCGAAATTGCAGATGAGAGAAGAAAAGGATATGGAAACCAACCATGTTATCGATTTTTTCCCCCTCCAGACTTGATTAGCTTCACTTGCAGGGTACAAGCAAACGGGGTCTAGAGGCAGGAAGGAAACAAAAACATACCAACTCGACTGAACACTCTCGGACACCCCAGAGACTCGGCTGCCGGACATGCAAGGGTGGGGCGGTGGGATCTCATATGTCGGCGGCAGTCCTTGCTGGAAGAGAAGCCGGAGAGAGACCGCGGACAGTCCCGCTCTTGGCAGAAGTAGATCCGCTGGTGGGAGCGGTAGTGCTTGCGTAGATCGCAGGCGCGCAGGAAGACCTGGTTGGAGATACATTGGCTGGTGTCGCAGCGCCAGTCGCCGTTGCTGTCCCGGTACCCGATTTCTTAGACATCTGCTGGTGTCCAGGGGACCGAGTTGCTTTCGGATGAGGACGAGGAGGGGGACTTTAGGACCGCCAGCGGTGATGGTGGTTGTGGTGGCTGCGAAGTGAGGGAGGGCTGGGCGTTGAGGTCGGATTCGTTTACTTGTGACCAGAGGAGGTCAAAGTCCTCGTTCAGATGTGATGGTGGGGGTGCTTGTGGTGCGTGATAAATGGAAGGATTGGTGATGAACTCGTCGAGTAGCCATGGATCCAATAGGTCATCTTGGCTCGAACTCTCCTCAAAGAGGTGCGGAAAGTCGGATTCGAGGGGCATACTTCTCTTGAGAAGCGCACACTCGCACAGAGAGCACGTTAGTCATTGACAGGGTGAATTCAACCTTTCGTGGTACGGTATTTATAGGGGCATTGCAGCATCGCTGATCCGACTCTACAGTGGCAAAAGTCTTGAGCATCTGATGGCTGTTGACCTGCCCCGATAAGAGGATAGTCTATTAGGGGGGCTCAACTATGCAAGATGCAAGGTCTTAGCATAGGACATGCATTTCCTTTTGACTCTGATTTCCGACATGCTTCGACACCGCCGAGCAAACGCGGTGGTCGATTGGACTGGTTGGGGGTGCCAGATAAGTCGGGGCGATTATGCAAGGCCAGTCATTCCTCATACTTACTAGATACCTAGATGTATTGACAACATCGGTCGACCTGGGGTTGTTTTGATCACTATGAGACCGACAATTTAAAGCAAGTCCTACCTCCGCTGCGGGCTCGCCTGGCACGCCTGGCACGCACGGTCAAATTCACATATTGTACCTGGAAAATCTGTTTTCAAGCCATTCGAAAGTCGAACCATGAACACGACGAAAGTTCAATATTCGCCATGCTCCGACTCGTCTGAGGAAGAAGTGGCAGCCAGAAGCCTCGGGGAAGGGTGCGCCTGGCTGTTTCCAACGACCAATGACGATTCCAATACAAGAAGACACTGTGACTGCAAGAAACGGCAGCAGGCGCTCTGGGGCTCACTGTTTACTAGCCTCATCCTCTTGGCACTGCTACTTTTGGGCTCCAATGGACTCTTGCTCTTTTGGGTAAAGTTATCAGCAGCAGCAGCATCAGCAGCAGAGATGCCAGAGCACGGGGCTTCTTTTCGTGAGTCTGGCATAAACCTCAATCTCAATTCTCAATTCTCAATCAATCCTTTCAGTGTGTCTTACTCAAGCACAATACAACCAACAGTCCACTCCGCCACCGGCGAAAAGCAGCACCCGAGCATTGTGGAACGCATCTACCATGATTACGATGATGATTTCTTGAACTTCAATACTACCGTGGCTCAAGAACATTGGCGAAGTCTTTTTCCAAGTAAGCTTCGCCTTTTTGCCGTCGGACATGTCGGGTAGCTGATGTGCGATGTGGTTTTGGAAAACACAGCTGGCGAAGGCATGATCGGCTTGACGGACCAAGAGGTTACCGAGATGAATCTCCACCATTCCGTTCGGGGGGGGGCTCAGATCCGAGTCGACACATCTATATGGTTGCTGTGTTTCATCAGCTGCATTGCCTAGTAAGTCGCTCGCGCTTCACTTGCTGCAGGACGGAGTACTGTTTATCTCACTACATTCTCCGATCACCCTGCATATACACCCCGACTCGCGCGCTAACAGTTGCCTTCCTCCCACCAATCTAGAGCCAAGCGCGTGCAATTATCATGCATCTCTTCCAGGACCCAGCCTACACCGTCCGCGAGACAACCTACCATCACACAATGCACTGCGTGGACATTGTCCGGCAGGCGCTGATCTGTGCCGCCGACTCGACTCTGATCTGGAGGGAATACGATATCAAATGGCCAGGCGCGGGAGGAACCAGGGTGTGTCGGAACTTCGACGCTTTGACACAGTGGGTGAGTGAGCACAAATATGTGTCTCAGTCGTTTGACCCCGCTCTATTGCCCCACACCGATTACTGAGGGTCTGAGCCTCTGAGGACCCGAGGACCTTCGTGATCTGCCACTCTCAACAGTAACTACTCCGTAGTCTGCGGTGACGGCGAATTTCTTGAAGCGGTATAGCGTTCCTGCTTAGGTATAGTGCTTTTTGCATTTAGCTATCTGCTACGTGGAAATACAGATCACCATCTTGCTGTCTTTCTGCCTTAGGAACTCGCTTAGATAAGAAGAATACTAAGTAGATAATACAGAAATCTATGTACCTGATGGCGGTAATTATCCGCCCTACTGAGCTGTTATTAGTAACCCTGCCGCTTGGATCATCAATCACGTAGGTACGCCGTCATGACTTTTTCATATCCCTCAATCTCTACAATGTGTATCCATATTTCCTAAGATATAACATGACACAGCGTCCTCATCAAGAATATTTGATCTCTCATGGTTGCCGACCCTACTCATACTAAACTCGCGGTTCTTATCGACGCGGACAATGCGCGGTTCTCCATCATCAAGCTCCTACTTGCAGAAGTCGCAAAATATGGCACGGCTCATGCAAAACGAGCCTATGGAGACTGGAGCAGTCATAGTCTCACAGGCTGGAAGGAAAAGCTTCTCGAACATTCAATCCTGCCTATACAGCAGTTTTCGTATACCCATGGCAAAAATTCCACTGACTCAGCTATGATAATTGACGCAATGGATCTGCTATACTCGGGCCGCTACGATGGGTTTTGTCTCGTCTCCAGCGACAGTGACTTTACCCGACTCGCCGCCCGGATCCGCGAGGCAGGGCTCGTGGTGTATGGTTTTGGGGAAGCCCACACGCCACAGCCCTTCGTTGCGGCCTGCGATAAATTCATCTACACCGGGAATCTCGTGCATCTCGATGAGCTTGCGCCGCATGCCGATCGCATTGTTTCGCCTGGGAAGTCGGATCGGGCTAACCAAGCTCCACTCAATCCAGAGCTAGCCAGTCATTTACGGGCAGCGGTAGAAGCAGCCTGCAATGACGAAGGATGGGCTAGACTCTCGGATGTCGGTCAGCTCCTGACCACAAGACACTCGGACTTTGACTCTCGTAGCTACGGGTATCACAAGCTGAGTGATCTGATCACTGCCTCTTCCTTATTCGAAATTAGCCGCCGCTCCTCACACAAGAGCTCATTTACGGAGATTTTCGTACGGGATAGGCGTCGGAAGTGATATGCAATGGGTCGATTAGTTACATATAGGTTATCTTAGTTATGCTTTACTCTTTCGTCTTCCTCGTCGGGCGCCCGTTGTAAATGAATTACACACGTATAAAGACGAGGTGAAGGAGGTAGTAGTGGTGACCGTTAGGGCCACCAGTGCATGGCATTGCGATAGTCCGACGGGAGCTCGTGGTCGGAATTATGATCGCCTTCCCCTAAAAGCTAGGACTGCAGTAAAAGAACGGCCTCGAGGCGACAGGCGATCCTCGAAGGGGGAGCTCCCGAGCCAGTGCGCCAGCGAATTCACGCACAAGGTCACCTGCTGAACGAAGAACATGCCTAGGATCCCGGCGTTAACCAGTCCCCCTTGCCAGTCATCCCAGCCCAACCTCTAGGAAGATGAAGACGTAATACCGGTGTTGCCAGATCACGACGGGATCCTGGTCCGGATCCGAGGTCTCGATCCTTCCGATTTGCTTCCTCAGCCAACCCATGGGTAGATCAAACCCTTTCTCACTGAATAGGGGTCTCTCTCGGTATCAGTGTATCGGAGTTTCGTCAGTCTAAGCAAAGTATGAATACTCTCAGAACAGCGTGCCCTCTCACCACCGGTGATTCCGATACCCGTGCAGAAATAATACAAGACTGGCCAGCCCGCAGTCTTGCGGTAAAGCGGAGTGGACAGTGCTCTAGACCAACCCATGAGGAGAAGGAATATGGTTGAAGTGATATTCTCCCTGTTGAAAAACTTATACCAAGTCCACCAATTTTCCGCAGTTTTGGTGTAGGCCCGCTCATTCGCCATCATTCTCGATGAGGTGAACGAGGTTTGTTCTGAATATTTGTTTCGAACCTGTGTGGCTGATTCAAATATGCCCTGAGCACTTCTATTTCACTCGAGTTCGATGCTATATGGAGGGGTGAATGAAGTAGTCAGCTGTGTATGATTGTCCTTGCCACACATCTTTCTTTCATCCGGCGCCTAAAAAGCGTAGTACCTAGAGTCCCGTTCTCGGGAGCCGAGTCGCAAGAGAATTTGTAGTAGGGGTATGACACCTGGACCTGGCAGGGATTCTCGCTGGAGTAGCGATCATAATCGGAGTTCCTGCCCCGGGATGCGAGGCTGGTGTCTTCGCCCACGGGAGTGGCGGTTGCTGCGTGGAGGGTCAGTGGGAGGAGGAGGGTGAGGGTGGTGACTGGGGATTTTCATTTTCAAGGTGATTTAATGGCAATTGGTTAAGTTGAAATTACAAGCGATTGAAAACTTGTTGGTGAGTGTGAACTATACTGGTGCTGATCTCGAGTTATGGACTGGGAATGTCAGAATTTATATAGAGCATTGCTGCGCACGAGTGTCTGTAGAGGGATTCTAGATTGCAAGTGACAAAGTGCCAGGATCATTACTCTGCACTCAGCTGACTACTTTATTCACCCCTCCATATAGCATCAAACTTGAGTGAAATAGAAGTGCTCAGGGCATGTTTGAATCAGCCACACAGATTCGAAAATTCCGGGAATGTCCATACTCCTAAGCCATGGGAAGTAACCTCTTAGGGCTGTGTTTTGTCGATTTTATGTTTGGGGATGATGCTCTCAGGTCTCGGCGGAATCGGAATGTAGTTCCTGGGAAATACTTACATGACCAATTGTTCTTTATTTGTCCGTGCCATTCTTCCTCCCTTAACTTACGAAATCGCCCTTCGTGATTTGAGCCTATGTGTAAGACACCAGCGTCTGGTTTGCACTATTGCTGCTTTCAAAGTGACATTTCGCCATCTCTTGGTATGTAGTACTTTTCATACCTCAAGTGCGAGCCGGGAATTTTGATGTTATCGCGACCCGAGACCCCGATACCCTTTCAATACGGTAATACACAGTACAAGTAGTAAATGCGTTCCGAGCCAATCACCCGCGGAGACGGACGACATCGCTAATCCTCGTAAAACACCCCCCTCCCCGCCAAATCAACTTAAATACTAGGTACCATGCACCCAACGAGATTATATTGCACGGCGCGAACATAGAGTATAATCTGGGTTTACTTCATCTTGATATATATATATTAGAATTTGCGTCAAAAGAGTACGCACGGCCAGCAATCCTCCCAAGACGAACTTCCAGTCTTGGAGCTTGATGCATTATCCCTCCTCCAATTGAGAAATCGGATTGTAGAATTTCTCCGAGAGGGGTCTCGGCAAAGAATGCATAGGGGCCGAATGCAGCTTCACGGCCTCTGTCAGATCAATTCTGGATCCGCAGGCAGCCGCTGCTTTGACGCCCACCGCGCTAGGGGAGACCACGTCCCCGGATATCTACGACTTGGCGCAGGATATCCAGGACAACTGGAATTATGATTATAAGAAGCTGATTGGCGGGAACAACATTGCTGAGAACAACAAACCCTGGTTAATCATGGTTACGGCCATCGTGGACAAGGTCCAAGCCGCGCGTGCGGTGGTGCCATCGGCGGATCTGGTCAAGAAATGCACCACGGCGCTGCGGTGGGCGCAGGCTGCGCGCCTGACGGACCTGGTTGGGGACGTGACGGCAGACACCTTGACGGGCGAGCGCACCAAGACTTTCATAGACAATTTCGAAAATATTGAGCCGAAAAGCGTCACGCGAGCGCTGGGGATTGACGAAACTGGCAGCGAGACCCGCGCGATCGAATTCGAGGATTTGGATTATGAAGGCATGTCAGGGGGTGACGCAGACCAATTAGCGGAATTCATGGCGTGGACCGAGACGACTCCGTCCAAGAAAACCTGGCCCAGCCACAGGAGACATCGAGAGTGGGCGCTGCTCTATGGAGAAAAGGCGACAATAATGGAGACAGCGTGTTCAAATTGAAGGCTTCGTGTTCTGAGTGTATGTAATCGCGGGTTGGTTCAATAGTGCATCCGCTTAGTGTATCCGTACTAGTGAAAATATGACCTATTCCTTCCTCGCTTAAAATTTGAAATATGATAGATTTCTAGCGCATCCACACGGTCAATATTGAGCTAGCCTCCGATGGCAGAGGTTTTCTCTGTACGCTTCCAGTGGAAGTTGAAGTAGCGTCAATGTCCCTGAGCTAAGCCTTGGCTCCACTGGAACTAGTCAGGGTCCCACTACCGCGCAACTCTGTAACCAAAGAGAAACCAGAAGTGGCAACGCGAGATCATCCTTGCTCCCCGAGCCGAATAGGAAGCCAGAAATCATGAGTACGCACCCCTTGGGATTGGGCACAGATAGCACGTTCACGCTCTACGGCTGACTGCTCCTTGAACCCCACCGCCTCATCCAATCCCATCGGCCAATCTTCTGTCGCGCGTATAATGAGATCTCGTAGCTCTTGTGGCAATCCAAATTGGGATCCCAATCGATCGAGCATTGTATCCTCTCTCCACCAGGCATGCTGTTGCGGTGGCACATTACGGGACGAGCAGATGCGGTAGTGCGGATCGACCAGCCAGATAGTAATAAAGCGCTGATGACCCGAGAGATAGGGATCTTGAAGCGAGAAGGGCAAGGTCCTGTATCTTAGGGTATTAGGCCAGGCTAAAAAGCATCCCTGATGAATGGTGGTTACAGATCCCAGAGTCTGTAGTTTTGGAGGAGCATCACCGAAAGTTGCTGGATCTTCATCCTCCCGAGGCAAACCAAAAATCTTTTGCATTGCGTGGGGCTCCAGTGTGATCTCGAACGCATCCAGGTCGACTTCTTGCTGGAAGGAGATACGCGCCTCGGTAATATTTTCGACGTCGTAATAGTATCGCGCGGTGGCAACGATATGCTCATTCAGAAGCCCGTCAATATGATAGTCATTGTCTCCGGAGAAGATCGTTTGCTCTGCAGTAAGCTCAATGCTGCTGACCCGTACGATCACTTGTAATCCCTGGTTGCGAAACTGGTTCTGCAAACAGACTGATTGATACTGGTGGTTATGGTCTGAAGAAGGGAGCCGTTTTCTATATATATCTTTCGAGGTTCTTCTTTTACCAACAATTGGCTGCGCGGTTTTTCCTAGTTTCCACTCATCGTAGGAGTATAGACGCCAGGTTCCGGATACTGGAAACTGTGAAGTCTAAAGCGTTTCTCTGATACAACCTCCTGCACTTGTTCGACAGACTTCCACATCTCTGGAGTCATGAAGCCCAGCAAATCCTTGGGATAAATCGATTCAGATGGATCGTCGTCGATGATTCGAAATTTTAGGTCGGGCTCGGGGGTTGCAAGATACTGTTTGATCTTCTCGCAGTCCATGGCCCAGGTTGGCCCGGGCCAGTCTTTGCACTGACGCCACTCAAGAACTTCCGATTTAAGTTGATTGTATGGTTCATTGAGCCCCGTCTTCGCAAACCCATATGTTCTGATGGGGGGGGATAACGACTAACAGGATCCCTGATCAAAATATCGTTCCATGGCTCAATGCAGGCGGAAATCAGCTTCTCAATCATCGCATAAGCTTTGCCGTTACGTGGATGAAGATTGTTGATGTATGAAGTGATTCGCACGTTAGTCCCCTCCGAGCTAACGAATTCTACTTCACATGGTAGCCACTGGAATCGGTGGGACCAGCGATAAAGGGACCCGATTGAGTCGTCTCTTGGCGGGCGTCCATGTTGTGTCGTCCATATATCTATAGGATGCTGAAGCGAAGGCGCAACGTGGAAGTCGGAGCTGGTGGTAGGATACGATATGCCGGCAGCAGTCATGGTGACTTGGCCTCCCTGACTGAGAACAGCAGTACGACCATAGATCAGCATGTATAAGTCAGGGTCCACCAGGTCATGGTAACCAGGTGTTTCCTGCAGGAGTGGCTGGAATGCTGCTTGTAATTCCTTTTGCAAGTCCTCGTTGACAAGCACGGCCGACTTGCACACCCCCGAATCAGCATTCAATGTAATGATATAATCCTTTTCACGGAAGCTGACAGCCTTATCACGTAGCTCCGCAATGCACCAGTCCCATGTCTTTGAGGTAATAAGGTCTAAGTCGATGTTCATATCTCCCCATTCCTCCGGTCCCGATCGGGCTTGAAACTGAACGAGAATCTCCCTATACCATTGCTGGATGATATCTTCATCAAACACGTCAACCTCCCAGTTCTGCCGCTCTGTCAGCATCTCTATGATGCGTAGCATGAAAATCTCAGGTTGAGTTAACCGAATTGCTCGACCTCGGCTTCCAGTCCAATCTGGCAGAGCTCCGTGCGCAAAGCGTTGACCAACGGGTAATTCATAATCCACTGGGATATCATGAAAGCCGGGGACCTGCAACTGGCGATTTTCGGTATTATCGAATTGAATGGAAGACATTTTTATCTGGACGTGTTGGTTCAGACTGGGTCGCTACCCAGAGCAGAAGAAAAGGAGAAAGGATTGGAGGTTCGAAGACGGCGCAGCCCGATGCTGGTGATATAGTGCGTGTATTGTATACCACCATAGCCCCCGGCAATAACGGCAGTCCGTACGCTGGTGACAGTGGTTCCATACCGTGTATTACCGTATTACAGTCGTACGAGCGATTGGAGTCAACGATGATTAAATACATGGCTTCAAGAATTTCGACTCGCACTCGAAATATGAAAAGGGGTGGATCGCGTTTGGTAAAGATTGGGGAGATATATTTGAGACGATAGAATGACTGCAAGACCAACCTCGGGTGCTTCTTTCCTTCGAATGTTATAGCTTCTTGCTATGTCCTTTCTCTCCTTCCAACCTTCACGTTTCCAAGCCCATTCATTCATTCATTCATTCATTCCTTCCTTCCTTTTTTCATTTGTTTGTTCCTTCTATCTTTCTTATTGCATCCGGTTGTTCATTTTCCCAAGTTCGTTACTACTTTCACTCGTCAGGATGCTGCTTGTTGTGCAATTCATTCTTTCCCTTTGCCTGGCAACACTTCAGGTCCAGGCTCGGGCTGTCTTCGCCCACTTCATGGTATCTAATACTCTGAAATATACCGTGGACAACTGGGAAGATGAGATGACGCTGGCCAACGAGGCCAATCTCGACGCCTTCGCTCTGAACACTGCTGTCGGAGATGCCACCAACACTGGTTCGGTTGCCAACGCCTTCTTGGCGGCCGGAAATGTGGGCTTCAGTCTGTTCTTCAGCTTTGGCTATGCCGGAAATGGGGCCTGGGCCGAGTCCGACGTGGTCAGCATGATTTCTACCTACGCGCTGACCGGGGCGTATTTCCAGCATGCCGGCAAGCCCCTCATCAGCACCTTTGAGGGCCCGGACAATGCGGCTGACTGGGTCTCCATCAAGGAGCAGACGGGGTGTTTCTTTATCCCGGACTGGTCCTCAGTCGGGGCAGAGGCAGCAGCAGGGCTTGCGGACGGTGTTGCAGATGAACTGTTCAGCTGGGCGGCGTGGCCGTACGGACCCAGCGACATGAACACGTATACTGATGCCTCGTATATCGATTTTTTAGACGGTAAGCCATACATGATGCCGGTCTCTCCGTGGTTCTTCACCAATATGCCTGGATATGACAAGAACTGGCTTTGGCGGGGCGACGACCTTTGGTATGATCGCTTGGAACAAGCTATATACCTGGCGCCCGAATTCATTGAGATCATATCGTGGAACGACTTTGGTGAGTCCCACTATATTGGGCCTATCCAAGCTTCTGGGTCAGATCTTGCCAACTCGACATACACAGCATTCGACACCGGCGAGGCCCCTTACAACTACGTGCTGGATATGCCGCACGACGGCTGGCGCGTATTCCTCCCCTGGTTGGTTGACATGTATAAGCAAAACATCTCGATCATCACCCAGGAGGGAGTTCAGGCATGGTATAGGCGCAATGTTGGGGGAGAGTGCGTGTCGGACGGCGGCACCACGGGTAATACTGCCAGCCAGCTTCAGCTGAAGTATTGGCCCTATGAGATTGGACAGAACAAGGTCTTCTTCTCTGCGTTGCTCGAGTCGGCGGCAGATATTACAGTAACCATCGGTGGTGAGAACATGAGTGCGTAGTGGAACAGTACTCCAAGCGGGGGTGCAGGTATATACTACGGATTTGTGAGCTTTTCTGTGCAGGATGGCCTAGTTGAGGTTACAATCTCGCGCGACGGAGCTGCTATTGCTAGTTTTACAGGCGCGGACATCGTGATCGGGTGCTCGAGTAGCATAAATATCGAAAATCGGAATGCCTGGGTGGGAAGCGCGATAGCCTCGGCCACGATTGACGCGACGTCTACAGACTCTCTCCTAGACGCCGTGTGTATCGAGGGGTGGGGTGCGGGGAATTTCGATGGACTCTGTGCGTTTACCTGTAGTCTCGGGTATTGCCCGGTGGGTGCGTGTCTGTGCAAGAAGATGGGCCCGCAGCCAGAGCTGCCCAAGAGTCTGGGAGTAGTGAGATATCCCATTACCGGGGAGACAGCAGATTATAGTGGACTTTGTGTCTTTGCCTGCAATTATGGCTATTGCCCGCCTACGGCTTGCGGGACCACCGAAGAAGCCCTAACTGTTACTACTGCTTTGCCTTTTATTCCGGCCACCTGTATTTCCGGCCAAGGGGAGGGTGATCTCGTTGGGCTCTGTAGTTATGCCTGCAACTATGGATTCTGTCTTATTTACAATTGCACATGCACCTCCGCAGGGCCCTTGAATCTGCCCCCTGTCGCGAACACCAGCATTTACGGATTCTACAGCGGTAGCGGCTCTGACAGTGGCTTGTGCGGCTTTGCCTGCGAGAGGGGATACTGTCCGTCTCCCACATGTCTGCACGATACATCCACCACCAGCACTGACGACGACGACGATTTGGTTTGTGCAGACGATGGAACGCACACACGCGCCGTGTGTAACGAAGAAGTTTACACGGGTTGCGACTACAGCATCTCCTTCGCCAGTTTTACCGACCTTTGCGCCGCGGCCGCGAGCTACAATGCCAGCTGTGTAAAATACTATCTTATCGGGGCCCTGTCGAGTATGCTAGACTCCGCCCTGGCGAATTACACGCAAATGAACAGCAGCTATCATGATAAGTTTGAAGAATATGTCAGCTTCGTCAAGGGGAGGTGCCTGAGGTACTGGACACGCTGATGGCGGCGGGAGGCGCGGGGAACGCATACTTCGAGTGCATCTACAGCGCCGGCGGCATCACAAACATCTCCACCACCAGCTGCCCGTACCAGGTCCCACAGACCACAGACGACGTGAATGTCAACAGCGTTGTCTACTACGACCTGGTAAATGCGATGGGATGGTGGAATATGCTGTTGAGCGACTACGGGCTGCAGTCGAGTTGGGTGCAGCTGGGCGAGCGCGTCATTCAGAATCACTGCTCCTCAACGACCAACACCCTCTGTCGCAGACCCGGCCACCATCGTCCAGTCGACGTTGCCCAACATCCAGAACCTGACCAACACACTCACCCTCACGAGGATCCTGATCAGCTCCGGCGCGTGGGGCGGGCCCCTGGACGACATCGTGCTGAGCGTGTCGACGGCTGTGTTCACTCTCGTTCAAGCCGTGCAGAACATGGCCCAGATCGAGACGATCGCGACGCAGTACGAAGAAGCCCAGAAGAAGGAGCTGATCGAGGAGATCATCGGCGCGCTGTTCCTAGCTGTGCCCTTCCTCGGTGAGATCGACGTCATCTCCGAGAGCCTGGCGGGGCTGGCCGATATTATCACCATGATCGGCGACACGGCCATGCTGGCCGACAGTATTTATGAGGTGGTGTCGGCCATAAGCGCTAAAGACGCCATTCTGGGCATTTTCGGGGTGCTCCTCCTCGGCGGAGTCAGGTCTGTCGAGGAATTTAGCGATATGGCGAATCTCCGCCCCGGGCTGTCGGCGGAGGACATTGCGAAGATCGGTCCGGACTGGGAGGAGGCCGATACGGAAATGAACAAGTTGGTAGATGTTTGTTTCTAGCTGATACTGAGATTAAGCATGTATATATATACATCCTGTAGAATAACCCTGAGGAATGTCATAATTTGTTCGTGAACAGGGATCCAGGTCGGTGGTTGAGAGTCATGTGAATTTATAGTCACACGTGCTGAGCTGAGGTACTGGCAATTGTTCATGTCCCTCGTTTGCAGCATATCAGAAAATCGCATATCTTTTTACTGCGTTCTAAAGATTGCAGCTTTGTGCTTTTTGATTACACAGTGGGCATGACCAGGTTGAGCGAAGCATGTATACTTACTGGTCTCTCAGGCATAGCAATAGTCACAACTAGTTTTCTCCATACTAACCATACCCCTAGGCCCCGCATAAAATGCACAGTGCATCGTGGTTTTTTTTTTCTTGGAATTAAATTGATATTATCATACAGTAGCTCAGATATATGAGGTGCCAGCTTACACCAAGATTCAAATATTCGCTCGGCCGACATGCAAAAAGATCAGGCTATTGCGTACGAATTTGCCGGCAGATTTCTTGTTTGCCGAGTGGCCGTGATGGTCTTCCGTATGTCACTTGAAATGCCATAGTATCGCAAAATCTCCGGGTTGATATGTCCATAGTAATGAGGATTATTGCCACGCACAAGCGTGCCAATCCCGTCATCACCTAGACCTACTTCGTAGTCCCGTGGACTTTCGAGCATACTTCCACCTGGGGAGTTGCCGTCGGGCCTCCGGTACTGTGGTACTGTGGTGGGGGGCTTAGATCGGAGTTAAGATGGTCGTTTGTTCCCCCTTTCGACTATCCCTCAGATCTCAGAGGTTTCTACTCGGGTGACTCTCATTGGACCACTTCTGGTACCTCTTCTGGTAGGAGTTCTGGTCTCAAAGTCCGGATGCTACCTTCTCGGCCTCGGCACGGCCGCTAAAGCAGCTATTTTAGGCCTCAATATAGAACAATGCATCGCTGGTTCAAAATGATGCGATAACGTGATTGTTTGGATAATCACTGGAGAGGGGGGCCCTGCATAAGGTAGATGCAATGAGCCCCTTTTTGCGCTTTGGTAAATGGTCCAAACGAAGGAAATGAAAATGTCGGCAGGAAGTTGTGTATCATGTTGTGCCGGACTATCCAGGACAAGCTTGCAGTATTGTTGCAGAGATAAGTGAATTACTCTCTGGAAAAAGTTGATAAATTCTTGCTGATGAATTGATCGCTACCATTGTTGGCCCTAGATTCTTCGAATAATACTGATTTCTTAATTAACGAGAATGATATCCACCGGGTCTCTCTGCCAGATACAGTACTTCTATGTAGAGTGAGTGCACTTCATCCTCACCCAGTATAAATCCTCTCCACGCCGACAATCCTGATTGCATAAATAATTCTGACACTTCCCTCTCTCTCTCCTCTCTCTCCTCTCAGCTATCGGCTCCTAGAACCCTGCATCATTTGCATCTTACTTTGAGCTAAACAGACATCTCCCACTCTTATTCTCAAATCGGACAACAATCCATCTTCGAAATCGAAACCCAGCTCACCCCTCCTCTTCCCTCCCTACCTTGAACTGCTACACTTTAGATTCCAGCAGCACGGTCTCATCCAACCCAACCGTCGCACAGCATCTCCCTCCTCTACCCCACATATACTTCACGCGAACAATGCCCACTCCACCCCCCAAGCCCCTTCCTATAATCCACATCAACGGCTTCCCCGGCACCGGCAAACTAACCATCGCGCAACACCTCGTCGCGCACTATCCCCCTCCCTTATCCATCACCACCACCGCCTCAGATCCACCCCCAGCAAAACTGAAACTCATCCACAACCACCTCCTCATCGACCCCGCCGACGCCGTCCTCCACCGCACCCAACCCGGCTACCAAGCCCTGCGCCACGCCCTGCGCGCCGCCATCTTCACAACCCTGACACACGAGCCCGCCACCCACGCCACCGCCTACATCTTCACGGACTTCCAGACGACCAACGCGCAAGGGGCCCAGGTGTGCGCCGAGTACGCGCAGGCCGCGGACGACCGCGGCTGCGCCCTGATCACCGTCGTGCTGACCTGCGCCGCGGACGAGAACCTGCGCCGCATGATGCACGCGGACCGCGGGGTGCATGCCAAGTTGCAGGACGTTCGGCTGCTCGAGGCATTTCGGCGCGGGGCCCCGGTGTTCCGGTTTAGTGATAGGAAGGAGTTTTTGGAGGTCGATGTGACCGGGTTTGAGGTGGCGGAGGTGGCGGCCAGGATTTGGGAGCATGTGAGTGGGGTTTGTCCTGAGCTGCTGGGAGGGTAGGGTGGCTTTCTGTATGGGTGGCTGGGGATGGTTTGGGTTTTGATTGTAGGATGGTAATTGGGGGTT